TCCTTTCTAAAGTGTGGAGCCAAGAACTGGATGCAGTATTCTGGTTGTGGCCTCACAAGGGCAGAGTAAAATTGGAGGAATTCTTCCTGGGTCTTGTTTGAGATGCATTGGTAGATGCAAGCCAGGGTTTTGTTTGCTTTGCCAGCTGCAGCATCGCATTGGTGGCTCATGTTCATCTTGTGGTCAGTCATGACCCCTAAGTCTGTTCCCATCATGGTACTAGTGAGTATCCTGACTAGTTTCTTCCTGCCATGGGCCCCACTTACCTCACAGCTCACTGCCAAGCCTATAAGTATGATACGTGTTTTTTTTTCCCCAACATGGAGCATTTTCATTTCTCCATGTTGAATGCTATCAGGATTTGATCTGCCCACCTTTTGAGCCTGTCCAGGTCAGCCTGAATCGCCAGCCTATCTTTTAGTGTGACCATGCTTCCCCACAATTTTGTCATCAGCAAATTTAGCCAGTTTGCTTCTGATACCTGAATACAGATCTTTTATAAATATATTAAAGAGTACTGGTTCAAGTACAGAGCCCTGGGAGACACCACTGGTCACCATGCACCATGTTGACACAGTTCAATCAATTATCACTCTCTGGGTCTGACCATGAGCCAGTTCCCCAGCCATCAGATCACGAGCTTTTTGAGGCCACAGTTCCCCAGTTTTACTATAGCCGTGTTGGCTATCTCTCAGAATGTTGCATTCCATTAGCCTGTTGTTAATGGTTCCTTTGATTATTTTTTCCAATTTCCTACCAGGGATCGAGGTCAAACTGATTGGCCTATAATTCCCTGGATCTTCCTTCCTCCATTTCTTGAAGATAAGCACCACAATGGCCTCCTTCCAATCTTCAGGAACCTTTCCCAAGTGCAACGTGTTCTCAGATATCCTTGCCATTGGCCACACTATGTCAGCCAGTACCTTTAGCACTCTTGGGGGCATTCCACCTGGGCCAGCTGATTTGTGGATGTCCAGCCTCTTAAGTTGTTCCCTCATGAGTTCTTCACCAATGGTAGATGGGTGTTCCCCCATACCCTGGCAATTCTGCATCCAGGGTGATTCACTTGGGCTGGTGGAAGACCGATGCAAAGTAATTTTTAAAGATATTTGCTTTTTCCTGGGTGTTGGTTGTCCACTGACCCATTTGGTTTAGCAAGGGCCCAATGTTACCCATGTTTTTCTTCCGACTACCCACATATCTGAAGAAGGTCTTTTTGTTTTCTTGATTCCTGTAGCCAGTTTGAGTTCGGTTTCACCCTTGGTTTTCCTAGTTTGCTCCCTACAGGTCCAGGCCAGTACTGAATACTCCTTCTTGTTGATGTTACCTGACTTCCATCCCTTTATAGGCTTTTCTTCTCAGATACGGGAGGTCCATGAGTCCCCTATTTAGCCATGGGGGTTTCCCTTGTGCTTTGAGGATTGCATCATTAAGGAGTGACCACTCATCATGGACTCCCTTCTCTATCAGATCATGGTTTCTCAGGGCCTTGACAACCAGCCTCCTGAGCTTATGAAAATCAGCTTTCCTAACATCAAGGATTCTACATTGCTGACTGATTTGCGATCTGGGCCAGTTTATTTGTGAATGTCTAGCCTCTCAAGGTATTCCCTTATGAGATCTTCACCAATGATGGTGTGTGTTCACCCGTACTTTGGCAATCATGCATCTTGTTAGGAAGGGTGATCCCCTTAGGCTGGTGGAAGACTGACACAAAGTAATCATTAAGGAGATTAGCTTTTTCTTGGGTGTCAGTTGTTGACTGCTCAATATGGTTAAGCAAAAGTCCAATGCTGCCCTTGTTTTTCTTCCGATGACCTACATATTTGAAGAAGGACTTTTTTTGGTCCTTGATTCCCATAGCCAGTTTGAGTTCAGTTACAGCATTGGCTTTTCTAGTTTGCTCCCTACAGGTGTGGGCCAGTGCTGAATATTCCTCATTGGTGATGTTACCTGACTTCCATTCCTTATAGGCCTTTCTGTTCAGATACAGGAGTTCCACGAGTCTCCTCTTTAGCCACAGGGATTGCCCAGACCTTTTACTCCTTTTCCTATGGACTGGGATGGACTTTCCTTGTTCTTTGAGTACCACATTTTTAAGGAGTGACCACTCATCATGGACTCTCTCCATCAGGTCCTGGTTTCTCAGGGCCTCAACAACCAGCCTTCTGAGCTTATGAAAGTCAGCTTTCTTAAAATCAAGCATGTCTGCATTGCTGACTGATTCCCCAGCTTTGTGATAGATAGAGAAAATGATCAACTCATGATAATTGTCTCCCAGCTTCCCTTCAATTCTCAGGCCACTCAGTAGATCATCCCCTTTAGCCAGTACCAGATCTTGGAGTGCCTTACTTCTTGTTAATCCATACTCCTCTTGAGACAAGTAGAGTTCATCAAAGTAAGTGAGAAAGCTATACAACCAATCAGATTTGGCAGAATGCTCCTTCCATGAAATGTCAGGGTAGTTGAAATCACCCAGGACAACCATGCACCAAAAGCATAGAGCCTCTGCCAGTTCACTAGCGAATGCGAGGTCAAGATCTTCCTCTTGGTTAGGAGGTCTGTAGTAAACTCCTACTGTTATATCACCTTCACCACGTTCCCCCCATAATCTAACCCAGAGGGTCAAGTCACCCTTCTTGGGTGCCCAACTCCAGTTGCAGGGAAGTGTACTACTCCTTCACATAGAGAGCTACACCCCACCCTTTCTAGCAACACGGTTTCTCCTGTACAAGGTATAGCCATCTATACCTGTGGTTCAGTCATAGGTGGAGTCTCACCAGGTCTCTGTTATTCCTATGAGATCATATTGATTTTTGTGTAGTAGATGGGCCAGTTTCTCCTGTTTGTTTCTCAGGCTCCTGGCATTTGTGTACAGCCAAGCAAGTCTGCCATCAGAGGCCCTAGGCTTCCCAACACTCCTAGAAGAGGTCCATCTCTGGGCTGGTATAGGAGTGAGATCCCTTGTGCTATGTAACAGGGTGCCAACTAACTCTGTTCCTGTGGAGGAGAACAGACTGCCTGCTTTGGGAGAACAGGGAAGGAGTTTGGGTCAAAGACAGGGAAAGGACAGTTGCTTATGGGGTATGACTGTGGAGGTTAGCATACTGGGAAGAAGTTAATAGCTTGAAGATTGAGACAGCAGCTGGTGGCAATAAGAAGGACTTGTGGGGAGCAGTTGATTGCCCCCTGGGGCACTTCAAGAGACTGAGTGACTGAGAGAAACCACAGAATGAGGAATCCCCATATACAGGCTCAGCGGGGGAGGATAGAACCATGGTGAGACTCACCCAGAGTAAGGTGAGGAATGACAAGTACTTACTTTTGTAGACTGCAGCTTTTGGAATGACTCCATGAAGTGGGACATGGACATGACTTGTAGAGAACACAGAAAAGTTACTAGATGAGTGATATCATGGCCAGGGTGCTGGAGGGAATGGGAAATGCAAATGTGAGTCTGTCAGTATTATAGCTGGCCTCTACAGGTTTATGGGGAGCACAATAAAGCCAATTCACTGTTACTTTCTGCATTACATGATTAACTAAGTTACCTTTTGTTGGAGAATATCTTTCTAATTTTTCCATCAAATAAAGGTGTGGCAGATTAGTCCCCAACGAGAGAACTCTTTAATCAACCCTAGCACTGCCACATGCTGCATAACCTACTTATTCTGTGGCTGACACTTGGAGGGGTTGCTCTGGTGATTGTGCACCCAGCCCCCGGTGAACTTAGTTTAAAGCCCTGTCAAGTAGGTCAGCCATTCTAGCTGAGAAGAGCTTCTTCCCCATTGGAGTGAGGTGAAGGCTGTCCCTTCCCAACAGACCAATGACTCTACTTTGGAAGTGCAGACTGTGGTGAAAGAAGCTGAAGCCTTTGTAATGACACCAACACGACAGTCTTCTGTTCACCTCATCAATTCATCTCTCCTTCCTGATCCCTGTAGACACTCATAACCTAGGTGGGACTGCTCTGAGACATGTCATGTGTGTCCACATGGATGAGGAGCATAGGGTAGTGGTCAAAGGGCTGGACTAGTTTTGGGATCCTCTCAGCTAGATCCATGATATGGCCCCCTGGGAGGCAGCAAATCTCAGGGGCCAAGGGGTTGAGGTGGTAGATCGCTCCCTCTGTCCCTCTGAACAGGGAGTTGTCCACAATGATCATTCTGCATTCTCTTCTTGCAAGCTTCCTTTGTTCCTCAAGTGCTGGAGCTGGCAGTTCAGCTGCCTCTCCAGATACAGCAAGGATTTTGTACCTGTTGCGAAGATCCAGGGGGTTGGTGACCCTGGTGCCGTGTGCCTTGGGGCTGGAGACAACCTTTGTCCAAGCATCCCCTAGCTAGAATTAACAGGAGATTCTCTTGTCCACCTTGTCCTGCCAGCCATCTTTGTACTCCCCTCTTTATTTTTCAGGTGAAGAATCTGGCAGTAAGAGCCAATCTCCATGGCATACAGTCTCTGCACTGCTGCCTGAAGTTCCCCTATCCAGCACTCCAGAGACTCCAGTGTGTGGCAAACCTCACAAGGAAGATGTCATTGCTCCTGATCCCAGATGCCTGCAGTCATTCCAGGCAGCCCCCACAGCTGAGAGCCAGGGGCCCCATCTGAGTGGAGGCTGGAACCATGGGCTCCATCTGGGTGGAGGCCTCAGTGGTACCAGGAGGGGGAGGGGGATGCCAGACATGGAGGGGATCTGTGGGGTGCGGTGCTCCACCACCATTACACAGGTGGTAGTCCAGGCTACTGCTGTGCCAACTCTTCTCTTCAGCTCACCACCTAGAGCCTTGTGCCCCTCCTGCTTATCCCCCTGTGTGAACTCCCATGCTAACTTGCTCACTGAGGCCCAGAGTATGCCTGTTTACGTGCTCTGTTCATGAGGCTCTGGTCTCACAGCTCTCTAGGGAGCAGGGCTAAATAGGAGCTACAGGGTGGGCATCCTTGGCTCCTCTCAGCTACCTCCCACTCCTGACTAGTTTCTTCCTGCCATGGGCCCCACTTACCTCCCAGCTCTGTGCTGAGGGTTAAGGTCGGATTCCACCAGAGGGGTCCACTGGGGTCTTCTGATCTTGGGGATGAAAGTTACACAAGAAACTTTCATCAGATACAGAAGCTATACTGGATTTAGTCTTTTCAATCCATTACACAAATTGCTTACATTTCAGATTTTAAAGCAGATGAAACAACAATAAATATTGAACAAATAAAGTTCATCTATTTCTAGAAGAATTACTAGATCAAAATACAATTAAAAAATCAATGCAAGCTTGTTAGTTCATTTTAACTCTGTGGGATACAGTAAGTAAAGTCTGAAAATCATTTGTACATGGAATGGCCCTCATTCAGCCTCCTCATTAAAGATGGTTTTGCCATTTTCCCCTTCTTCCAATCATTAATATTCCCTGTGCCTTCTCTTTCCTGAGAAGCTGCAATGTGGCTGGTTCTTCATTTGATTCACCTTTTGTAATTTGCAACTCTAGGGTGTGTCCTGATGAGTGCTCACATGCAGGGGTGTGTGTTTCCCACAGGACAAATAGTAGTGACACATATTTGTGCCACAGCTATTTGCCCCAGGCATACCCTTGCATGCATGCTTTGGCATGCAGCAAAGTGACACATGTGGGGTAGGGGAGGCTGTGGTCAGCTCCTGTCCTGGTTCCATCAGCTTTACGTGGGGCCCTTAGGCTTCCTGGGGCAGCAGTGGTGTTGAGCCAGCCATTTGGAGCCTGGCTGCCAGGCAGAGCATTACTCTAGCTGGCCAGGCTCCCTTTCTGGCTTCATATGCTCATGCCATATGTGTGCAGTGTTTTTTTCAGTAGCAATTTTTTTTTTTTTTTACACTGGTTCTGCCGGTGTCAAATTTTGGTGCTGCATTGCAATTTAACAGCACAGCAAAGAGGTGCACATATGTCATGTGTGGTTTGCAGCACCTCACATTGCTTTGAGGCACCGCAAACTGCACGCTTGTCACGACGCACCCCTAAAGTGTAGCCATACACCCATATATATATACATATATGTTGAGTCTTGTCATTTTTTGATGGACCAAAAGGTAGTCACTATAATAATAAATCAACTATTATGTATTTATCTGGCACTAGAGTAGGAAAAGGGATGGCAGTGATCACAGAATAAGCATGCAGCAGCAAGAGCCCCACAAGGAATCCCAGCTAGTTATTTATCTTGGGCACTGGGGAAACTCATCCATCAATTGTCTCTTTCGGACATACCAAATGTATCCTTCTGGCCAGTTGTAGGATGTGGTAGGTACTAGGCTCTGTCTTTGTCCTGCTTACTAGCATTCCTACTCCCTAGTATTCCTGAAAGAAATTATGACTATCCCTTTGTGAGGGAGCAGGGCAGTAAGGAGGACATGCTACTTTTGCTCTCTGTCTTTCCCTCCCTCCATTTTCCTTTTCTTTTTTAGCCTACTGAAATTAATAAGAGACTTTTTACTGACTACAGTAAACTCTTGATCAAAGTCTAGATGATAGTAAAATAATATAATATAATGGAATGTTTAGTCCAATGGAAGGTGAGAAACCAATTCTGATGTTTTAGCACTGACCTCAGGCAAAATTTCAAAGAAAACTGTTATAAGTTACACAAATAAACTAGCATAAACAAAGTGTTTTTCTCCAAATTCCATGCTTTATTTATTTATTTGTGTATGTACATATGTATGCATGTATGTATGTATGTATTTATTTAACTTTTAAAGTTTGTATTTCATGTGAAAAGAAATGGATAGGTATGACTCTAGTAGGAGTATAACTGATTGAAGCATCACACATCATAATACCATAGTATGTTGAATGCCGCAAAGCCATGTAGGCAAACATTTATTTGAATGCAAAATAGTATAGTTGTTTGATTTGATGGTTTTCAAGTCTCTCATGCTGTTTGTAAAAAGAGCAGCTCTTTGCCAAACACTGTGGGAACAAAAGTGTATCTTCAAGTGAAAAAGAGGGTTCAGATGTAAGCTTCTTAGCGATCTGATGTTCGTTAGTCATTGGTTTAAAAGATTTCAGATAACCAGTCAGTGAGCAGAAGAAAGATCATGTGAATTAATTATTTTAGATCATGAATAGTAAACTGTAAATAGCCAAAGCCATCTGTTCACAAGCCTCAGTGGATTGAATTTGTTTGCATAAACTACTTGATGAATATTTTTGATCATACAGGTTTTGTCAACCTGAAGTTTTAATTATGAGTGTAAAAGAAGGGCCAAGCTCCCAATGAAGTATGCTCACAGTGAAGAATCTGACAGCTTTAGATATTCTATTATAGGACTTGCACAGCATACTTTCACAGGGTACTTTACAAAGAAATTGTGTTTGCCACAATACATATGACTGCATTTCTCAAAAATCCCTTTAAATTGAATGACCCAATACAAGAGCACACATATGGAATGTTTAGTCGTACAAAAGCTGAGAAACTAATCTTGATGCTGCAGCAGATTCAGGAAGCAGATTCAAAGAAAACCTTTATATGTTTTAAAAATAAACTAATATAAAGAGTGTATTCCCTCAATGCCGTGGTTCATATATCCATAGATTTTAAGGGGCTGGAAGGGGCCTCACAAGATCATTGGGTCCAGGTCCCCTGCACTAGGCAGGAAAGCCAATTGGGGTCAGGTGACCCCAGCAAGGTGACCATCCAATCTCCTCTGGAAGATTTCCAGGGTAGGTAATTGCAGCCACCACTGGAGGGAGTTTATTCCACAGTCTGGACATCCTAACTGTGAAGAAGTTCTCCCTAGTGTTAAGCCTGAAACGGCCTTCCAGCAGTTTGTGGCCATTACTCCTGGTTTTCCCAAAGGGTGCCCTGGTTCACTGAGCCCTTGATGTACTCCCCTGATATAGCAGTAAGCTTCTAACAAGACTCCCCTCAGCCTTCTCTTTTTTAGACTGAAGTCCTTAAAAAAGAGTCCCTCAGACTTTCCTTGTATGGTTTGCCTTGCAAGTCTCTGATCATATGGGTGGCTCTTCTCTGGATTCTCTCAAGCTTTTCACATCCTTGTTGAAGTATGACACCTGGAACTGGATGCACTACTCCAGCTGCAGTCTCACCAATGCTAAGTAAAGCAGGAGAGTCACTTCCTTGGTTTTGCTTGTGATTCATCAGTTGATACATGCCAGGGTATTGTTTGCCATTCTGACTACAGCATCGCACTGATGACTCATATTCATACCGTGGTCTATTATTACCTCCAGGTCCCTTTCATTCATGGTGCTAGTCACTTTGGTGCCACTGAGCCTGTAGGTATGTTGGGGATTGTTTGTCCCCAGGTGGAGTACTTTACATTTCTCAATGCTGAATTACATCTGGTTCTGATCCGGTCAGCTTGCCAGTCTGTCTAAGTCCACCTGTATCTGCAGCCTATCTTCAAGCTTGACCACGCTCCTCCATAACTTGGTGTCATCCACGAACTTGGCTAGTGAGCTCTTCACCCCTACATCCAAATCATTGATAAAGATGTTGAAAAGCACTGGACCAACCACTGACCCCTGAGGGACACCACAGGCTACTTCTTGCCAGGACAAGATAGATCTGTTCATTAGAACTCTCTGGGCCCTACCCCACAGCCAGTTTCCTACCCACCTAACTGTCAAGGAGTTAAGCCCGCAATCCACCAATTTTCATGTGAGAACATCATGGGGTACCAAACCAAAGGCCTTTTGGAAGTCAAGGTATACAATGTCAACCTCCTCTCTCTTATCCAAGTGGCAAGTTACCTGGTCATAGAAGGAGATGAGATTGGTAAAACAAGACCTGCCCATGATGAAGCCATGCTGGCTGTCATTCAGAATCCTACCTTCTGCAAGCATATCACACATAGACTCCTTGATGATTTTTTTCCAGGATTTTCCCTGGGATAGAAGTTAGGGTAATTTCCCTATAGTTGTCTGAGTATTCTCTCCTCCCCTTCCTGAGGATGAGCATAACATGAAGATTATTATTTATTTATTTATTTTAATTTTTAAAAATCCTCTCTCATAAGAAAGGGAATGGGTATATAATAAGTCCAGTAGAAGTTTGTTGCTTGAAATACCACACTTAATACTGTATCCACAAAAAAAACCCAAAAAACACCCAAAAATAACATCCATTGCTTGCATTTTATCCTGCCTAGCTGCATAACATTTCCAGAATTTGAGACTGAATATTAGGAAACAGGGGAAAGATGCATAGCTAGGTCCTGATCCAAAGCCCTGTGTTAGTAGTTTCATTGGGAACTGAATCAGCCCCCAAAATATATGTTTGCAGCAAATGCTGAAAATAACAACTGTCAAAAATGAGGTAAGGATAGAATAATTGCTTGGGGTGTGGATGACCAAAGTTCAAATGCATACTATCCCTGTCTTTATCTGGCCCAGTTAATAGTCATACAAACTGTAACAGCTCTAGAGAAAGAGACTGAAAGAGAAGAATGGAGTAGTTAAATGACTGGAGGATGTAAAAATCTTGTCTACTTGAGTGTGTCTCTCTAACAAAGATGATACCTATCCTGTAGTGGCAGAATGAAAGGACTTTATAGCTTGTAACACTATTAAGTGAAATAGCATTTTTTTTTAAATCTCCTTGCTAATATTACAAGCAAAGCATTAATGCTAAATTGTATTGGGATCCTTATTCGATTGCATGCACATCAAATAAAAATCAAATAATTCATCATGAATAATGTTCATGCTGAAAAAGCAGCAACAACATAATTTTAAATAATAATTAGTCTGCTGCTGTAACAGGCTGCTTTAGTGTTTTGTTAAATTGAGTAGTAAGTTTATACTCCATTTGGCAAATGGCTATTACAAAAAAGAATATTGCTGCCTTTCAGAATTCCAATATTAATGTAACCTGACTCAGTGGGCACAGAAAATAACATGATTACCAGTACAGTATCAATTTGTTATTATCACCTTGCTTATTATGCCTTCTCTATATAATGGAAATAGTAAGCCACCAACACCTTCTCACAGTTAATGAGAAATCATTACATTAAACTAATACTGTTTGAAAGTTAGGGTGAATATTTTAATGACAGCAGGGTACCTAACTTCAAGG